CCCCAAAACCCCAAAACCCCTATGGTTAAACTTTGATTTGTGATGGGATTTTTAAAAGTAAATAATTTTCATTGTAAACAGTTTAAGATTAATTCTGATAAAAGGTGCAAATAAATCAAAATAATTATTTTTAGATCTTGTCTGAAAGTTTAAGCTCCTCATTTCATCATTATTTGTTGTTAATCCACTGTAAAAGGTACAATAGACCATAGAAAAGAGCTATAAAAAATACTATGTTGATTATCCAACCGCAAATGTAAAAGAATTCTTCAGTAAAAATCATAAAGCCTATTCCACTATAATTCTCATACAAACTGATATCAGAAATATAAGATAATTTCTGTGGAGAAAACCCTATTCTATTGTTTTAGTAATCAAATATAGTATAGTAGTTTCTTAAGAATACATTTCCTAGAATAAAAGCATCATCACCATTAATTTAGAATCCAAGAGCACAGATTTATGGACTTTCTTTTACCTCTACAATATACGTTTCTGGAGAAATCTCAAACCAATTGCCATTAATCAATACTGAAATGGGATCAAAACCTGAAGTTTCACAAGAAACCATAAATAGATTTTCATAGTACGCATAAACCTTTCCTCTAAGTATTCTAGATATGAACTCAACACCAATACCTTAAATATTTATTAGAATCACAAAGAATTACTCTTTGGTAGATATATAAGAGGCTATCCAGAGTCTATTATGCCTTTAAATCGAGAGGATGTGTAAACTGATAAAAGCTGATTTGCATATAATGCTCCTTTAGTAGTTTTGAAGCCATTGATTGTCACAGTCCAATAGAAATCAAGAGTTGATTCAATCCAAATTAATTTTGAGGGGTCTCTCATTTATGAATTAGAATAACCTCCAATCTGAACAAAACTTTGAGAGTCTTAATTTCCTAAGTTCATTGAAACCATATAGTTGCTAATTTTCCCCTGTACATAATTTAAGATTAAATTTTAAAGGATACAGCTTTATATAGACTCTCGATAAGCGATGGACCTGACTAATATATACTCGATGAATATTTCCTGCATAATCCAAGCACACCATCACTTTCCTCTGCCTATATTATATAAATCTTGTTCTTTAGCTTACTATTCCTTACTGATCAATTACTAAGAACCAAAGAAAATCACTAATACCGATACTTTTTGTGGAATCTAGATATACTTCATCAGTCGAGTTATATCCAAGCCAGCCAGAGGTTCCATAGAAATGATAACTAGCCCTATTAGAGGCTTGTTTGTAATTTGAAGAGCTACCAATATTGTAGTTGGATCCAGCGCATGTTCTACACCCAGCAGATTCAACAGATAACCACTGTATAATTATGCCTCAAAAGCAATTTTAACTTACATCCTAGGCAGTATCAAATAGCAAACTAACTTTCTTTGCAGAGGTACCCATATAGATACTTCCATAGTACTGGAAGTTATAAACATTAGTGAGTGAGATTTCCTTGCTTTATTTTAACAGAGGTTTCTATTCAGAATATTTATTATCTGAGTCTGAGATGCTCTCAACTTGTGCTTATTAGTTTTCTGTTGTTAACTGATAATTTTTCAATTAATCGATATATTCTTGCCACTTTATTTCATCAAGGGTTTGCTCATTTACTAATTTATTATATAACTCTAATGAAAACATCGGATAAATCTTATGATAATTACTTGATATGGAAGATGGCGAAAATTAATTATGCAACTCCGATGCTACTTCGATATTTCTATGTAATTGATCAACTTTCTTTATTTCCAGATTCACATGAATAATCAAATCATCCTATTTCAAGATTTTATCAGCGGCTTATATGATTTACCTGCTCAAGATTCTATGCATTGATACAAGAGAATTAAGATGGCCCTTGAATCAAGAGAAAAATCAATAAAATAGGCAAATGCTAAATTATTCTAATCATTGTTATTAATATTGTAATGAATACTCTCAATTATAAGGTATACTTACATTTTATTATTTTGATCTGCTTATAACAGTTCTAGCTAGTTTTATGGGGTTTTGGGGTTTTGGGGTTTTGGGGTTTTGCGGTTTTGGGG